CATTGACCTGTTCTCCTAAACATAAAGAACTACTACCATGCTTTAAAATGCTACTTTCTGAATGACAATTTCTGATCATTTGTGTGTGAGAGTTGAGAACAGCACCATTCAGAAAAAAACCCACATAACCATATGTCTTTTACAGAAGGATCAGTAATTAGAACATGTGAGGTATTTCTTTTCTGAAAACGTTTCATGGGAAATATGGCATGTGCAGTCTAAAAAAAAAAAATACACCTCTGATCTTCATGCTATTGCCATAGCATATTTTACTGTTAGAGCCTTCTATGCCCAAGTAAATCTGTTAATTAAATCCTTTGTCTCTTAAAGAAAATCTCAAAGGATTTTTATAAAAATAAACACAATAAAATGAAGGTGTTTTGTAAGTTAATAAATATTGTGTGTTTTCATGAGATAGCTATTACTCATTTCAGAGAATTAACCACTCTTAGTGTTAAGAGTGCTGTTAATTTCATACCAGAAATGTGAAATGTACCCCTTTAAAATATCATACGGTATACTATCGTATTTTTTCACTTCTCAGCAGTTTTCCTATTTTTAACTTAATATCTCATGCCAGTATGAATTACAATGAAGACTTCAAACATACCAAAAATCAGTTCTTTAAAACTTTGTATTTTACTCCACTAATGCATAATAATGTAATACACAATGCTGTTAATCTTCCTCTTCCTAATTGATTCACCATCTTTATCATGCTTTGACTAACACACGGATATAATCTCAAGAGAGAAGCTGTGATTTATCGCTCTTACCAAACAAACTGTAACTTTACTTTAAATGATTTACTACCAAATCCCAGGACAAGGACCAAAATCCATCTGGAGTAACAACAGACCTCTAACAGGATTTTACAGCTTATAGGCAAAGCTAAAAATTATTCCATGACAGATTAAATGCCTGGTTTTCATTACCTATAATTTTCTTAAGCTTCTGCTTTATGAAAGAGAAATAAGAAAAGTAAACGTTAAGGTCTCATGTACACCAATCGATTTAGTTCATCTGCATAGCCCACCAGCCATATGAAAATAAATTAGCTCAAGCTTTTGGAAAATAAACTGCTTCATTGCTCAGTCAATAATAGAAATGCTATCAGTGAAATTTTCCCAGGTTTCCTCCACCAGGTGTGATTTCCTCTATATTCCAGCTTGTCTCTGTTATTGGTTTTGTAATTCTATTCCCCTCTTCATTTATTTCTAAAATTTCTCAGAGGTCTTATTCTTTTAACCATTTTTTAAATTATTCTCAAAATTGCTGGAAGTTTTCAAAAAGCTATTAATATATTCTGATGTGATATACTTTCTAGATCCCACCATATATTTTCTCATCTTTCTTGTACATTAGTAATTTCTCAATAATTTACCTTTACTCTTATTTTATGTCATAACATAATCTCAAGCCAGAAGAACATTAGAATCACCAGAAAGAGTACTTGTGTCTACTCGATTACTCAGATTTCAATCTTTGAATCTCTGATTATGCAGGTACATATTTAGTGTTATTCCATGACCCTTGCAGCATTATTCTTGATTCACATTTTAATTCTAAAGCAATATCTTTAATCAAAATACAATGTTTTTCTCAGAAAAAAACAAGAGTGGCAAGCCAGAATGCTCTTTCAGTCATAAGCCAAATTATTTTAGCATTGCTAAGTCACCACTAATACTAGGAAAATAAAGGGTAGTTTCAGTCCATTAAAGAAACAAACTAGTTTCAGGATTTATGACTACATAAATACATACATTAAAAATTGCCTGCTAGGATAGTTAATAACTCAGATGTGATTATCACAGCACCCACTATGAAGAGCTGGGTTTCTTCCATCTATACTAATATGGAAAGCAAAAAACTTATTACTTCTGTTGGACAAATAATAATTTGAAGAGTAAGTGAAAGTAACATTTCTGGTTATAGTCTAATTTGTCAGTACCTTCTCTAGTTCTTCCAAAAATAACATATATAAGCAGTACGTCAAAGCAAGAATCTTACCTCTTCCTTCCAGCCAGCATTCACTATTTAATCTCAGATAGATCCTTTCTGGAAGTCTCATCAAGACTTCTTACCACCGTAGTTTATACTGAGCAAACGTGAAAGACTGGCATGCTGTATGCTGCTTAATTAAGAGCAGGTGGGTAACTAGCAAACTATGACCACCCTTAAGGGCCCAATTTCTAGTAATATTTGATTCAGCTCACAAGACAGGCTAGAAATCCGTGGTGTGCAGAATAATGGATTTTCCTTCCTTGGTTATTTACACTGTTTTCCCTATCACTGCTATAGGACAATTAGAAAACAAAATAATTCACAAGTGAATGCTGTACCCTCAACAGACAGGAAATGTAGACACTGATACTGTTAAGTTGAATAGCAAACTACAGCAGTAAGATGAGTTTACAGTCATTTCACTTAGAGCTTCCCAACTTCATACTGGACACCCTTTTATACAGAGTGCTTAGAACATTTCATTTTCTTCTTAAGTGCGTTTGGGGTGAGCTTTTCTTTGTAAAAGTTCAACACGTAAGTCTCCCAACCACACTTAAAAGCTCTACTTGCCATACTACTCTCAAGCTATCACTTCTTCTCAATTTATCCATTTCTCCTTGACAGTCATCCTTTTTTATTCCGTTACCTTTCTTAAGTAGCTTTCCCTCAGGTGAGGCGCAAAACGCATAGCCTTCCTCAGTGATCCTGACCAGAACAGCCTTTCAACCTAACTTTGTTTTAAAGTGTGATTTTACAAGAGGTCTGAAACTTAAAAAAAGTAATAAAATAGAAAGCCTTAATTTTATCATGGTACTAGAGGAACATGCTTTGAACATTCAACTGTTTTCAAATGTTTCCCACTTGTATTACATATTGACTATGATTACTATTACATATATGCATATATACACACACAAATATACATGAGACAGCTCATGAAAAGAAGGAAATTTCCACTTAGAATGCTACTGGAAACCACTGCACCACTAAGGCAGCAAAAAAAAACCTCTGACACATTATTACAAAGCCAGCAAATTTTCTGAGTATTTCACACCACAAAGGTTCTCATGTGCCAACAAACCTCTACAGAGGTCAATTCCACCTGTGCATGTTCAGTGATCTGCAAAAGCTGGCCTAAAATTTCTCACAAAGAGACCTACAGGCAACGCGCAGTAGGCGACACAAACCGGCCACTATCTTCACCGTTCACCATTCAACTAGCATTGTGCAAGGAAGCTTCCATACTGAAATAGTACAGCTTAAATTTAAGGTTTGCTTTACAGCTGCCCTAGCTACCCTGTGCAAAACACTGATCCTCTGTTCATCTTTCAAACATGAATTAACTTGTTTGGCACTAGCTTCAGTAGCACTGGACAGTACAAATTTGTCCACAGCAACCACTTCAAAAAAATTAGAATTACTTGTTAGGCATTACAAAGGCATTTTGGCACAGGCAAGAACAGAATCCCTCCATCTGGATGTAATTCAGTTTCTCTAACCATATTTTATTTTCCTATATACCCAGTTTCAATATAGCTTCAGACTTATTAAAAACACTATCTATGCTATGCACCAATGAACAGATGAGAGAAGGGGATTTAGTTTACCCTCCAGACTCCAGACAAGAATTACTGTTTTTACAGTCTCTGACAGATGTTTTTCTAACTTGTTATGAAAAACCTCTAACAGGGTAACCAGCAACACAAGAGATAAACTTATCTTTTACTATACCAGGCGTTTCAGGATTAGAAAGATGAAGTAGGTGGTTAAGACATATTTCATCAGCTGATTTGACCGAAGGAAGTATAAACTTGGGACTCTTGCATTCAACTCCAGATTCTGGAGTAAGCAGTACTTCAGAGGTTACTCAGTCTTGGTCCTGACTTCCCTCTGTTACAGCCCCTACACTCCCTCTACCCTTTTCATGTCTCCCATCTAATTTTCATCCTGCTGTTCCACACTCCTGTGCATCACAATCACCTCTGTAAAATAAGGGAATCTCTGAGATTACAGGGAGATAAACTCTCACGCTTCATCTCCTGTGCCACTGTCCTCCAAATACAGTAACTTTGAACCAGACATTTGTTCCCAAGACTGGAGATAGTAACAGCCAAACTCCAGCACATGTGAACTAGGATTCATGTGTTTATTTTTAAAACTTTACAAATGTAACAAAATTTAGTAAGTCCCTGACACAGAAGCAACACCAGTGCTACAAACAAAACAAAAGCAAAAAATTCTTTGTCAAAAGGCATGAAGACCCTCAGACTGAAGCTAACACCTTCCCAGCACCTATAACCACGAAAAACTAGGAAGACACATAAGCTAGTGCTGCAAGTTAGTCAATCTATGGAACACTATAGTGTATATGTATATTATAAAGATTTTTACCTGCAACCTGCTTCATTCAAAGCACAAAAGGAATTAAAGTGCAGGTAGTTTAAAATACAAGATAGTTTAAGTATGAAAATGAGTGTCGAAATTGTTGAAAACAGAAATACCTCTTGACAAGTAGACAATAACCAAAAACCATAGAGAATGGTCCCTGTTTTGCCAAGCAGGAAGGTGCACAAGAAAGCAGCTCTGTAACGGGTAAAATACGGCGTCTAATGCCATGAACATGTAACAACTTAAGTATGTTTAATATTAATCCCTAAGTAATCCCACTAAATTCAGTGGCAGACTGCTTACAATTTTTAAGTTAAGCACCACCAGTTGGAATTTTTGGGAAAAGCACAGAAAGACAATGGGGAAAAACAAGGATCACAAGATGTGATATAAGCAGAGACAGAAGCAGGAACAGAAAGTGAGAATAAAAGGAAGATGAAAAACAAGGAAAGGTTTCAAGTGGGCTGAGCTGCACCAGTTTACACTGGCTGGGATCTATATAATATTACATAGTGTCTTTTCTTTCCTTCTTAAACTCTCTAACACGAAGAGAATGTAATGCACTTTGTATGTGAATTAGTTATACATCTAATTCTTAACCAATTAGGAAGAAGAATCTCAAAACTCTTCACTTCCCAAAACATAATTAATGCTACAATTAATGCTGCTTGTCCAAGCCAAAATCATGTATAAGGTGTGCCATACAGTTTATTGACTGAAATAAAATACATGAAGCAACAATGGTGAAAGTGATGACAAAAAATGCTGTTAATATTTCTATAAAATAATTTTTCAGTTCAGGAGGAGTTATTTTCTTGTGCAAACAGGCATAAAATTACTACCCACTGCCCTGCTTCTCATTGATTTTTATTTGGCACAGTTTGCCAGATGCTGTTTGGTCTAAGTGCTGCCTTGACCTCCACTGGTGACGCCGGCCCCTTTTGGCTTTGTTGTGCAGTATTTTCCCAGCAGGGAGGTCCCACCCTTCTAATAGTTCAGTTGCAAGTTTTGCTAAAGGCTTATAGGTTCCCCATATGTTGTACTGGAGGGGCCAGCCTGACTGGAATTAACTCAGAAGTGGCGTCCAGCATTGTGGCTGTAGCTGGCCCAGAGGAGATTATAAATGCCCCAAAACTAATTAAATATTTTGTCTCCTGCTGGTAAACAAAAGCGAATGAGGGCAAAAATATGAAACGCCTGATTTAACTAGGATCTGTAAGTAGCTTGACAACGGCAACCCTGAAGTCAGTGATGCATGATTTAAAAGCCTCTAATGGGTCAAAGCTGTTACACAAATGAGACTGTTGTCGATTATCCTTCACTTTGCATACTTGCAAAACGGTTACATAAATGTACTGACTATCCATTTTCAAAATATTTCACAACAGCATTTCTCTGGTGAGAGTCGTGCAGTCCAGATATTTCTTTGGAAGCATCATTAGCTTTCACTTCTGCACTGAAAATATATGGAAAATAAATGTGTCCACCTAAAGAAATATGTACAAATAAGAAGTGACAGTATTTGCAGTAACATTTTCAAGGATCTGAACTGACAAATGGTGTTTTATAAAAAAGAGACACAAGAATTCTCTAATTTAATAATATATTTAGTAACATTTTTTAACAAAATTGTTAGCTAAGTGCCTTTTTCAAGGTTTCTCTATTCAAAGATATATAGAATACATATAGAGGAATATGTATTAAAAATCAGTTAAATTATTTAAATATAGAATAATATATATTTAATCAGCTAAATTATTTAAATAATGGATTAAGTGATTTTGATATATGTAATTCAGATTTAATGTATTCAGTTCTGTCAATTAAAAATCCTCATAGCATTTTAAATATTGTATGTCCATAAGGTTATGCTGTATTTTAAAATACACTACTGCACACTTCTTTTCAGTAATGTATAATAGTTAATACATAAATATTCCATAAATAAGTTTCAGAATGTGAAGAAATGTTCTACAAAAAACCCATTAGTAAAGAAAATTAGAATTCCAATTAGATGTTCTACATACTAATTTTACATACATGCTTAACTTCTCATGTTTACGTAATCCTACTGCAGTTAATGAGAATAATCAAGTGTCCAAAGGTAAAAACAGCTGCAAGTTTTGCTTGTCCAGGATCTCAGTTCACAATGCTGTCAGTGTGATCTAGAAAGTGACTTGTTTAACAAAAAGACAGTATTCACCTTTTCTTGGAGGGAATGTGTTAAATCCTCATGTGTTCCATAAACCCATTTTTACTTACTTTTTTTTTTTAATTTACAATAAGGTTATCTTTACTTGCTGAAATTCAAAACTTACTGAAAAATGGCAAGGATCAAACATATGGGTAAAAGAAAATGAAACCTCAGAAGAAATTCATAGCTACATGTATATACCTACATACATAGAAAACATACATACATCTCACTTTGTTTTTTATAGTACTTTACCATTAGATTCTTGCTTTATATTTAAACTGTTATGCAAATTAAGTAATTCACATTCAGTTTAAGTTAAAAACTACACTATTAACTGTAAGGGCTGATGTTGTAATTATTGCTTTCCAAATTACCCAGGAACTTTTGTAGCTGTATTGGTTTGCATCCTGCCAGACAGATGAGTGCACATGCACACATGCATATAACACATCTGCTCTTTTGTCCAAACAGACAGCAGGACGCCACAGACGTTCTTCCATCAAAACAAATGCAATTCTAAAAGATTAAGTTGTTCTAGTTAGGCACACGGTAACATTTAATGTTTCTGACTTTCAGGTCTCCTAAGTGTCACATTTCCAAGCTATAATGAATTAGATGTGACAGCTATATTCTAAAAGCCACAAGTAAAGTGGTTTTGAATGAAGAAACACTTAATGTGGTGATTGCAAATATATAATGCGGGATTTAGAATGCACAAAGACAACGTTTCCAATTACATACGTGAGAATAGCAGAGAGTAAAAAGTGATAAACCATGACTAGAAGAGCAAAAAAATCAATTCATCCAATATATAGAAAAATACTGACTATTTAGTACCAAAAAGCTTGTTGTTTGTTTTTCTCCCATAAACCTAGTTGCTTTTTCCATCCCTTATTTCAGAGATTTCAAGAATCTCAATGACAGCATCCTATCAGACTTCAGCAGAGTTTTCTCTTGAATTATCCAAACTTCAGAATGGGGAAGTTTTCCAAGACTTAATGAATACCACAGAGGAAATTTCAAATTAAAAGCTTTTTACAGCAGTATATTCATCCACTTCTGTTAAACTGGTTTCCTTCTAGATATTCAAAATAAATGACAAAATCTTCCTTATATAATTGCATACATTGTCTTTTTTGTCATCAACTACTCATGGACCTTAATTCCCAATGCAATAATTGCAGTAAGGCAGCTGTATTTCTGTTGCATCTGGTCCTCTTCATAAACAACTAAGAAGCAAAAAGGTATGTATTACTTGTTTTTATTTACAGCTTTAAGAGTAGTGCCTGATCATAGTAATAACTATATTTTTGTAATTCAGACTCACTGAAAAATGCTCTCAATGAAAGTGCTATCGGTTTAAAGAATTAGGGATGCTTTTAGAGCAAAACACCAGGAGAGCTTCCCACCAAAGTTTTCCACCAGAAAGTCAAGAATGCGAGCTTTACAGCAACGGCTATTTAATCTAACAGACAAACCCATAAAAAGATCAAATAGCTGGACAACAACGTTTCAAAACCATGAACTGGAAACACAGAAAATATTTACAAGAGCAAGTTCCTAGATATTTTACCAAGGAATATAATAGGGGCTCTTCAGAAGCTTATATTTTATATTTAATTTTGATATCTTTCCACTATACTTAAATGGCAAAGTATTGGCTTCAGTACACCGCTTGCTTTGGGGAATATTACAGTCTGTGATACATATTCAGGTCATCAGAGCAGATGAAGCCTTATAGGCCTTATATGTTTGCATCTATGAAATGCAGAAAAAACTATCAAAGTTACCTAATAATCCCAGACAGCGACCCAGGAAGAGTCTGAAACTACACAGAATTCTGTCAAACTGCATAGAGATTAATTTTCCTTATTCTCTAAATCTTTTTGTTTAGGGATAGCATGTATCTTCTTTAAGGTAAGTAGCAGCCATTTAATGTATCGCCGGTATTCACAGAATAAAGAAGCTGGGAAATTCAGTTTTCATTGAAGAGGAAAAAACCTTAAATATTTTACAGGTATCACTGAAGCCCAAAACATATCACCATATCACTCTGTCTTCCTCTGAATCTCGAGTATGGATGTGAAATAGGCACATTTATGACTGGACATGGAACACAAGCTTGTATCTATTTTTTTCAGAAGGGCTGTTTTCTAGAAAGGGTGATAATGTATTCTTCAACAAAGAAAAAGTATCTATTGATCAAACTGGTCTCAATACATTGTACAAGGCCTTTGCATAGGTACGTATCAGAAGAAGCACATGAGAAAATTTGTCCTAGTGAAGAAAAGACCAGCATAATCAGTCTCAGGTCTCAATAGGAGAAGTAAAATGCCTGAAAACAGCTGAGGAGGGAAAACAAACAGAATTTAGAATCTCTCTTCTACTTTTTCTTGGCTGACAGGAAAGTCTAACAGACATGATGAATTAATATTTTAATCTTTTAAGGATCAAGATTCCACCTTCTTTTTGTTCATCTCAAAATCCTAGGGCATAGCACAACCCAATCCCATTCAGCAGGGCAATCTAGCAGAGATTACACCTCCTGAAGTACAATACCCTTTAGAGCTCTTCCTAGAATTGTCTGACTGTACCACCTTTTAATCAGTACTAGCTCTTGATGAGACAACTGAATCCTTTGTCAAGAACTTCCAAAATGAAAGAGAAGTACCAATTAATTGGTATTCTGACTGGGACTAATTCAAAGGTGTCTCCTAGTACCTTGGGATATGATGTATTCTACTTTGGAGAGAATCAGTCAGTCAGAGATTGATGAAGGGGTGGTGAGGTCAGGTCTGCAAATACAGAACCATCTGCAGAGTCTCCTGGGTTGGTACCTGCAGCACAGTAATTTACAGGAGCAGGTGTTTCCTTTAATCTACCTTTTTTTTTTTCTGCTGAAATTGTAACTTTATTGAGAAAGTGCCTGTAGTTTGTTATTAAGAGGGTACTTTGTTTATTATTGCTATTAACTGCTGAAAGGTTTCTGAAAGTTGTAGTAACCACACTCCTAACATTAGTAAGAATACAGACTGTGATGTTAAATATGTAAGTCAATCAGACACATCTTCAGAAAGCTGCTACACATAAACAGATTAAAGTACAAAAGACGGTTTTAAAACCAGCTATTTTCTTTTGAAAGGAGCCATTTCTGTCTGAATATGGGCAACTAAAATTATCACAGCTGTTAAGATAATTTATTTCTGTTTATAGCCATAAATATTTATGGAGAAAGGATGCTTTCTGAAACAAAAGAAAATTTCAAGAATTCCAGATGGAATTTCCCACCTGAATTGAGCTTGGTGGGATGGGAACTCTGGTAGGTCTCCTTTGGTTTGGATTCAAAGCATAGCAAAAGATCAGTAGAGAATATATCTGAATTCAAATTCAGGTTCCTGGCTTTGCTACACTTCATACCCTGCTCCAGCTCTACAATAATCCACATATCTTCTCTAGCCTAACATCTCTCAACCTGACTCCCAGATCAGACAAGCTGTCTTTGCATCATTAACTCCCAACTAGTGGCAAAACCCGAGGGTATGCCCTTAAGTATTTTAACTATGGTGACATATTTCAGACTCTACACAGGAATAACACCTCCTCCTCTTGCTCCTCACAAACATAATTCATCTCCATCAAACTCCTTCCTCTTTACAACTCTAGAAATGTTCTTGATAAATTTTCCTGGGTTTGCTTAATGTATTTTATCTATCCTGTGATTCCTAAGGGGACAAAAATTACATACGGGAAAGTGGTTTCTTGGTTTGGGTGTATCACCAAAAAAGTCACAGAACACTGGAAAGTGGCTAAAACTTATGCTTATGTGATTCATGACATTAAAAAAATGGGGATTATTCTCTTTTGCCATTCAGTGAGGCAAAAAGAAGTAAAAGTGAACCTCTCACTAAATAAATCACCAGTCTAAACTAAAGGTCTTATACTAAAACTGACCTCTAGTACAAATAAATAAAAATAAATCACACTTTTCTACTGTCTGCTAACACACTGGGTTTTGTTATTCCACTTTCTCATTCTTTTGAAAAATTTTAACTATATTTTGCTGTAAATTTTAGGAACTAAAAGAAGGACAGTGACTCAGCAATTGAGAAAAATACTTCGGTTCTCCTTTGTTCTTTTTGTTTAAGACTGGTAATTAAAGACAAATCCACTCCTCAGAAGGAAGGGGGAAATAGAAGTCAGAATCAAACTGCTTAATTGGCAGATTTTTCTGATTTTTAATTGAAATTAATTAATGTTTG